GTAACAGGTACACGCATAGCAGGTACACATCTCTTAAGTTGCTTTCCATCTTGATGTCAGGGAAGAAAAAGAGACTATCTCTGCCCTAGCCATGTAGCAACACAGGATCTACACTTGGATATGTGAAGACTTCAGCTTTGTACCCAAAATGCCTAAACTACTTAATGCCAGATGTCTGGAGAGTGTTTGGGAAGTCTGACCTGTTCTAATGACTACCCTAGGCATCCCAGGAGAGTGTGCATGTTAGGTATGCTTCTAGGTGCTGACTCTGTATGCCTGTTGTTATGTCACATCCCCCTTTAGGATGAGGATGAGCAAGATGAATGTATTTTGTAAGGGATATCTGATGCTAAAGAAATGGCATGGTGCTTTTTTAAATGGTACAGAGACTTGAAAACACTTCTCAAAAAAACGCAAATAAATGAACAAGCAGTGTTGAGTGTGGAAGTTAATGTGTTAAGCCTGTTTATAGAATCACAGAATCATTTGGGTTGGAAAAGATCTTTAGGATCATTGAGTCCAACTGTTAACCTGTCCTCAATGAAAACAAATTTCAGACTTCTTAATTCCTACCAACAGGAGTGGCAGCAGAACTGGCGTGGTGGGATTCCCTCCATACATGTCCTCACACTTTTTTGCTAGTGGAAAAAAAAACCTTGGCAAAACTGCAAAAGCATTTAGCTGTGTTGAAAGTGTGAGGGACAGTATTAAGCTACAGGCAGACAAATCCCAAGGGGGAAAAAAGGGCTGTTCCTCAAAAATAATGAGTTTCTGAATTCTTCCTTGATATTTTAAGAAGTCTTCTTTTCATTCTCAGAGTAAACACAGCATTTTTCAAGGCAAAAAAAAAAAAAGTTTCAAGCAAATGTGACAGGTGCAAGAACATGGCTTTTTAATAGGCTGAAACTTTAACCACAGAGAGAAAAAATGTCTTCATAAGAAAGCAGTTTGTGAGCGAGTAGAGTTAGAACAGCTACATGAATTCTACATGTGTCTTCAGTTATGGCTTGAAAGTATTGGTCCTTGGTAACAATATAAGACCAGATCTGAGAACTGTTCAGTGTGTTCCCTGGCCTAGTGTAGCTGATCTTTTTTCCCCTCTAAGATTTGAAAAACTGGAAATGTGAAATGTTTTTCAGTGAGGTACCACTGCAGTGAATGAGAGTGAAGGAATAGTCTCTTTAGGAAGACCTCTTACAGAGGGTCTGTTTGTCCTTGGCTGGGTCTTCTCTTGGCATCCTTTTCTTCCAAGATTGTAAGCTTTAAATTTGCCATTATGGAGGAAGAAAATGGCATTAAGGTAGCCTAGGTAGTACATGGGAAGAAAATGACTTTGCTTAATCCTTACTCTTGCCCATCAGACTCTAAATGAACAGTTCCAGTTTGACCTGCTCCTAAAGCCTCAGTTATGGCTTTAAAAATTGGCCTGGTCCTACAGAAGGAAGACCACAATGTGTTAAAGCATTAGCTGAAGTTTAAAAGGTGAACATAGAACAGTGTAGTACTGCTTACTCAAAATGTGTGCTTATGTTCTTAGGTACTTTGTCCAAGGAGTGTGGTCTTTGTCTAAGTGTGTGAGATCTAATTGTGGAGAACAAAATCTTCTGTTGTTAATTCTCTTTTTTGTCTTTTTCTTTTAGTTGCTGAGTCAGGAAACTGTGACAAAGTTTGTGCCCAAATACAGCCTTGTTGTTGAACTTAGCGAGACAGGAGCCTACAGAAGAAGCTTTCATGATCCCAATGGAGTAACAGTAGCTTACGTTAGTGAGGCACATGAGCACAATGGATATCTTTACCTGGGCTCCTTCCGGTCTCCGTTTATTTGCAGACTTAATCTTCAGCATGTTTAACTGCCCATCCATGGTAAAGTGCCGCTGTCCTAGAATACTCCTGAGGTACGAGGGAAGTGTGTTCTTCAGGCAGCATGTGACCAAGGACAAAACGTGAAAGACAGTCTGTTCATGTGCAGTAGGACTGTTCTGGTGCCATAGGAAAATGTACAGCTTGCTGTACCTGTCCTCTTCCTTGGTGTGACTGCTCTTGCTTTGGAGTTGCCATGCCTCATTGTTGGTATCTGAGGAGTATGGTGGGGCATCTTCATACCGTTCTGTGCTCCTTAAAGAAAATCCATTGCTTTTCCATGCCCAGCTCTGTTTGGAGTCATCCTAAACATCACCTGTCACCTTTAATGTAACTGTATGTCTTCTTATACTGGGAGGATTTGTGATTTATGGAATTTAGCTGTGTATGATTCGGATTGAAGAGGATGTCTTGCATGTGTTTATTTCTGTTTTAGAACCTCCTGTTCAGGAGTGATTACAGTGCATGTTCTAATGTCATACCATGGTGCTGTGGTAGGGGCAGCAACATCCAGAACATGCCTAGAAATCTAGTTACACCATTTGAGTTTCTTCAGTTCCAGCCTGCGTAATGAACATCAGACGCTACAATTAGCTGTTAATCAAGATGCAGAATCAAATTTGCTCATTATCTGTGGACTCCTGTGTTTCTTTATAGCACTGTAGTCAGATGATGAATGAAAGTTGCATTTTCTATGTTATTAAAGACTAGTTCCAGGTGGTTTAAAAGGGGACAGTGGTGGTATTTCCTCCATGTTTACCATGCCCTGTATGTCTCCTGTACTTGATGTAGGTGGGCATTCCTGAGGGATGTGGGAGGGAAGAGGGCCTCCTCTAGGAATCCTTTTCAGCATGCTTTTTATGGAGAACTGGTAAAGATTTTGGGAAAACTGGTGTCTGAAGATGTACACGGGCTAAAAGGCCTCTGCAAAATATAGTAATAATGGATAAGGAAGGCTTTGGTGGAATATTTTGGAGCGCGGTAGTAACTCATGGATGCTTTCTGGCATCTCCAAAGGAAATTGTTTACTTCCTCTATTAACAGATACCCTGCTTAGTAAATCCAGAGAATGCTTTTCTGTCAGCTACTACAAAGGAAGGGCTGTGTTGTTACATTTTAAATGAGAAGGTTTGCATCTTGAAGAACTAAAGGGCTTGGTTGTCTGTATCATTTAGTGGACTGAGTCGTGCTTTGCAACTTAAGACTGCTGCGCTCTCTTTTTCTGCCACTGGGTGATAGTCAAACATAAAGCTACACCATTGCTCATTTTCCTCGCCTTTGAAAAGGAAATAATCAAGATTTACTTGAGATACAATGCAAAGCACCAGAGAAGGGAAAGGTGATGTTAAAAATGTCATTGCTTTCACTAGCCTCCTGTGCTTGTCCTCATTAATGGAGGGGATGTGCAAATGAAAGTGTTTCTTTCCTGTCGGTGCTTCCGTTACCTTGTTCTGTGTGACTGCCAGGCTGCCACAGTCCTGTGGCTGCAAGCCCTCTTGCTATGAAAGTTGAACTGGATGGGATCTTAAACTGGGGTTGCAAAACAAAGTCTTCTGTGGGGCTTGTGTCATGCTGGTGCTTTAGTAGCCTTGGGGCAATCCCAGTCTTGCCCGTTGGTGCATAGTTACCTCTACTGATTCATTTGCCAGAGTATCATAACTGAGCAACTTCTGATGCCTTTTGCAGTGAAGGAGACCTCACCATGCCAAATGGGATGGCTTTTGTGTGACTAATTCCCTTTTAAGACACTGTTCAAGAAGCTATGAAGTGGGAAAGAAAATAGGCAGTACTGCTGCTGGTGCTCAGGAGGGATAAGATATATGAAGAGTTGCCCTTTGGGAGTTTTTTGGTTCTTATCCTTTTTCTACTCTTCTACCCACTGTTGGAGACTAACTCAGTACACTGATGCACCTGTGGTCCCACCAAAAAGATTTTGAGTCTTCTTTAGTTCACTCTAAGCTCAGCAGCAAGTACAGCAGACCCAGAGGTCATGTGAATAACTTTCTTTTCTTGGGGAAGGGGAAGGAGAATGTCAGATATGAGAGGTGTTTAACAGAGTGCCCTTTCTTGACTAAATGCTGAAATTGGTGGTGTCACTGCTAATAGGTGTGTCAATATTGCTGTAGAAAGGCAACAACTGTCAGAAGAAAAAGGTGTTTGTGGAAAGAAAGTGCAACAGGGCCCAGACTTTATGCCTGTTTTAAGGAAGCAGTTACCCGAATCCTGACAAATAAGTGCTTTAGTCCATTGTAATTAGCAATCTGTGCTTATGTAAAGAGTGAAGGCTGAAGGAAGGGTGGGTATCCACCTAGAAAATACCATCAGTCTACTAAACTTGACTATAAGCTGTGATCAGCCAGAGATTGAATGTCACATATTAACCTGAATGAAACTTCATTGTTTAACCTCAGCAAAAACATGCTTTGGGAATATGGTTGGGTTTATTCACCTTGACATTTGCAATGATGCCCTTTTATAGCCTAGACTAGCTTTTGATTTAAATAGAAGCAGTAGTTACTGTGTCATTTGTGGGCTGTGGGTGTGTTTCAAGCACTTAATTCAAGCACAGTTTTATCTATTCTCTTGTCTGGAAGAAAGAACAATTCTACCTCATGCATTCCTGACAGGTAAGTTTAACTTTTTCTCTAGCACTGGAGCTCTTAAGACTTCTTTTTCTGGTGTGTATCCCCAGGCAAGCTACCCCATTGCTGTAAAGCTTTCCTCAGTGTTGTAGTCACATGTGCTGTGATTTTAGACTTGTTTACATCACAGCTGCATGAAGATTTGTCACAGGATAAAGCAAGTCCAAGAGAGCTTCCTGGGTGTGTTCACGTGGCTTGGAAATTCAGCCAGAGCATGGATGGCTCTACTGAATGAATGACAATGTGTTCTCATCTACAGTTTAGTTTTGGAAAAACAGATACACAACTGAGTAGCAATGAGTTCAGTTAGGGCAGGTCTTTGTCACTTTTGAGCATCTTTCTTAGGGAAAAACCACGTGCTTTGAGAGAAAAGCTCTGGGGTAGTTCTGTACAGCCCTTCCCCACTTCAGTTTTGGCCTCAACAGACCAGGCAAGGCAAAACAAAACTCATGGTCATAGATCCCCTGTAGGTCAGGCTTTCATGGGGAAAAAGGTGAGTCAGTGACAGAGAGCAACGGGAACATGTGCTGTATGTAACCAGGGTGTTATCCAGACCTCAAAATAGCATCTCAGCATCTGCAAATAAAAGGAGAATTGGTGAGGAAATTCCAGGGGGTTGCTGGTTGGTCTTGGCATAGGGAGCTGTGAGGCAGGACAGCACAGCCTCTTTTTGTCTGCCCTCTTCATCCTAGGGAAAGTAGTTTGCTAGGTAATGCTATCCTTGTTGAAAGCCTGGGTAAGGATTTCCTCCACCTCGGAAATCTCTATTCAGAATCTCTTGTATTTCAGCACACTTTGACTCTGTCACCCAGGAACAGGGGCTAGATGGCTGTGCCTGGGTCAACAGACAGGGGCGGGCCCTGGATGCATGAGAGGTACTACATTGCTTGTACTCACAGCATGGTTTGGGTTGGAAGGGACCTTAAAGATCATCTAGGTCCAACCCCCCTGCCATAGCGACAGATAACTGATAACCCTGATACACTGATAACCCTGCCTTACTTCAGCTGGCCCTGCACGGAGGAGGCTTGTATATGTCCTGGGACATGGCAGCGCTGCTCTGATGGTGACTATACAGCTAGAGATGGCCAAGAATCACCTGCAGCTACTGGATACCCCAGAGGAATTAGATATTACCTGTTGCAGATTTTTTTCCTTCTGGAAGTGACAGTTATCCAGGCTGGAGTGCTCCCTCTTCTCACACACGGTGCGTCCAATCTCCACAGAGAGCATGTATTTCAGCCCTCTGACAATCTAGAGAAAGCAGTTTCCTCCTTTAAAGTAAGGGCATGGGAAAGGTGTGCTAAAGTTTTGGCTGCAAATCAAGTAGTCCCTCTGTGAATTGTGTGTGGATTGTTTTGTTACTAAGGTACAGATGGGGTGGCAAACCTCTGTGGAGGAGTTGAAGGGGACAGAGGGACCCGAGCTATTTATCTTTAGGCATCCATAGCAGTCCTGAGGAGGATCAGGGCTCCTTTATCTTGGGTACTCTGTAGCAGGGTCAATTGGAAAATGATTTGGAGGACCACCAGAAGTTTGAGCTCTTCTTACCTGTACCATAGCTTTGTTTATTTGTGATTCCTTAAACAGGAAGAGGTCATTGGAACTGTTGTTGTATCTGTAGACTCCAAAGCGAGCTGCCTTGCGGACACCAGGGTTGTCAGTGTTCATGGGGACAGGGAAGCCAGGTTTCATGGTCAAATTAGGTGGGACATAAGTAGCTGAAACAACACAAAGCATGAGTGCAAAACACATCAGGAGCCCGAAGTGGTGGAGCTTCAGTCTTCTAAACCAGCTTTGGGACTGCTCACCTCCATTACAAAGTCATTTTCCTTTTTACGTTTGAAATAATGAAACAATCCTGTAGAATGAATTGACATCAAAAGATGTCAATAGCTGCTAGAAGTGGTATCAGAGTTCAGAGTGACTTTAGAAGAAGCCAAGGTATCATGAATATTATTTAGAACAGGATGCTTTGGGTGCTGAAGTGCTGCTGCCCTTACCAAAATGCAAAGGACCAACTTACCGCAGCCACGAAGTGGAGAAGCAAGGTGTGTAGGAGATGGAGATTGGAGGGGGGCAACCCACAAGCTTTTGAGTTTGAGCACTCCTTTCCACACACTATGTTCTTACTTGGTTGAACAGCTCATTTGCCCATGCCCTGCTTGTTTTTTCAGTAATTTTAAAGAAGCTTGAAGCTCACAGTTTGTCTTTATTTCCTCCCCTCTTACACTTGCCTTCCCTTCTATTTTCCTGCTTGTGAAATATACAGGTTGAGGATTGTTCCCTCTTGCTTGTAAGTTGCTGTGCAGCCACTGCTGATGCCAAGACCCGCCAGTGTGGGCCACGGCCCTTGGAGCTCATGCTCTGTGTGTGTAGGGAGTGAGCCTGCCTATGCATGCAAATGTGCACACAGAGCTTGGGCTAAATACACTGTGAAAGTCAAGGTTTTTATCACCTCCAGCTTTTTCACAGCTAGATTTCTCACTCACAGCCAAGCATGGACTGTGAATTTAAGCCAGTTTCTACTGAGAAACCAGAGCAGAAGAAAGAGTGGCAACCTGAGCCTACCTAGCACTGGGACAGTGTGCCAGGCTGAAAGCAGCTCACTGGCTTAGGCTCTTCTGCCTGCTCTGCAGGACCTTGCTTGAATCTATGCTCTTATGCCTGTTGGAAAATCAGGTGTGGCAGTGGTTGGGGTGTCAACAGCAGAACCTGTCCCTTGTAGGAGGAGGATATAACCATGGGCTTTTTCAAACTCAGCACAAGATCTCTTGCTGCTTAATATCCCTCAACACCTCTAGAGGCATGGTGGTATCTATTTTAGGCACGTGGGGCAAGGTGAGTGAGGCAGAGCTCATGTGGTGTGTATGGAAAGAAAACTATGAAATGCAATGCTCCAAGTGAGAGTTGGAGACCAAAGGTCCCTTGTTCCTGGCTCCAGTGCCTGGTAGATCCAGCAGTGTCACATGTGTCAATGCCTCTCAAATGCAACGCAGAGGTGGGCTCACAGTCTAGCAAGCTGGAACAGATGTAGACAGGTAGCAGGCTGGTAATAAACCATGTCTTGTAGGCAGGTGGTAGGCTAGTGTAGATGCTTCAGCTTTCACCCAGGGCTACAGGGCACTGCACCTTCTTCACCCATTACAACTTGGTATTGAGAAGGACTCAGACCAGAACAAAGTGAATATAGCATCTACTGAGTCCTGGGAAGAACTTTACCCATTCTCCCTGTCCTGCTTTTCTCTAGCGAGCCACGTTCCTCAAGATTAGGAGTTGTTTTTCTTTATATACTTTAAGTCTTATTCAAGGCAGTTGCTGCAAGGTGCTCACACTGCTCTGAGATCACTTTTGATGTTTGGAATAGTTTGCACCACTCCTCCCAAAACCCGGAAACTCTCTGGTGTGGGCACCTGTAGTTCTGATTCTCTTCACCACCTTCATGACAGCTTCTTACAGAATCCCAGGCTGGTCTGGGTTGGAAGAGACCTTAAAGTTCATTCAGTTCTGCCCCCCTGCCATGGGCAGGGCCATCTTCCATTAGACCAGGCTGCTCAAAGCCCCATCCAGCCTGGCCTTGCACTGCATGACTTGGCCAAGCACCTACAATATACAGAGGCCCAGAGGATTTGCTCTCATGGCTTGGAAAAACAGCTCTTAGAGCCAGAGCATTTGTGTTTCAGACCCCATCCTTGCTTCTGGGGTTGGAAATGGGAAAAGATGGGAGTTTTTCCCCCCTCCTGTTGAGTGGTAGCAGGGTCGACTCTTCTCTTGCTCTGAGTTAACAGGAAACTGCCTGCTATTAAGCAAGAGAAAACTGTTCTTGCAGACATGAGTTGAATGTTGTATTGAGAGGCTCTCTCTTGTACTTTCCTCATTGAGGAATACTCTGGGGGCTCTCTTCCTGCAGTAGGAGACAGCAATCCTGTGGATGCTCCCTCCTAGCCTGCAGTGAAGCAAACAGGCAGATTGCAACAGGTTGCTTTTTTCTTCCCCATGAGGTGCTTTCAAAACCTCCTCCCCATTACTAGGAGCAAGCCTTTATCTGTACATTTAAGATGCAGCAGAGTTCCTGCATGCCTCTTCAACCCCCAGAGGAAACCACAGCTGAAAAGAAGCTACCAGCCAACCAAGCACCATGCCCCTGGGTGCATTAATACTGCGTGTATGGGAGCCAGAGTAAAACTGAAGTAGAGCTAAAACCTGCAGAGAAAACACTCCTGTCTGCAGCTCCCATTCTAAAGATTTAAGGCCAGCTGCAATCAAGAGTGTTTCCTTGCTCAGCAAAGAAAGAAACGACACGCAGTAATGCTTCATTAAAGGCAGCTAATCGGCACTGAAGTGCCCATCTGCATTTAGCAGTCAAATTGTTACCCACAGTCTTTAGATTTAATAATCAAGGTCGTGCAGAGTTTAAATACTGACAAATAACTTAAAGCCATCAGTTGACTTTAAAATCCTTCGATGCTGTCCCCAGATAACTTGGTTTGCTACAAGAGAAGAAAGTCTTTTAAGCAGTTGGGTTTTCATCTGCAGCCTGAACCCTGCTGTGCTGAGCCAGCATGGGCAACAGTTGGAGAAGGGCAGTTAGTTACCGGTGCATTAGAAAGCAGCACTCATAGGACCTAAAGCACAAGGAAAACAGAAGTTCCTTTCCACTCTTACCTCCGGAAGCCCTGCTGAAGCTCCAGAGTGCTACACAGCAAAGTGTGGTGAAGCTGCAGGTCAGGTTCACTGCCATCTCCACCACTTCAGAAGAGGAGCCCGCCTGCAAGAGGAGTGACAGCCCTGCTTCCTGCAGGGGAAGATGTGCCTCTGGGTGCTCTTATAGGCTGGGAGGAAAGAGGAAAACCCCCATAATCATCGCAGCTCTGGTGCTGACTTTGTCTCCTGCCAATGACCAAACACCTCAAAGCCCAGCCACAAAGCTCGGGCTTGGTGACAGTAGCACCAACCCTGCATCAGACAGGGACTTTGCACAACCTCTGAGGATCATGAAGCAAAAGCATGGGCAGATAGGTGTGATGTGGCACTGGGAAGTGGTGGGATGGGGCAAGGGGAATACCAGTCATGTGCTTTAAGATTCATGGGGAAATGTAATCCCTAAGAAATGGGCAGTGAGCTATGGGGATGTTGTTCTTGACTTGGGTAAAATCATAGAACAGCTTGGGTTAGAAGGGACCTTCAAAGCTCATCTAGTCCAACACCCCTGCAGTGAGCAGGGACATCTTCAAGTAGACCAGGTATATGGGTCTCTGTGTGGGCAGAAACGTGATGGAGAAGATGGTCCCCTGTCTTGCTACCCCTGACCTGGAGATGGGGGGATTTGGGTGAGGAAGACAAGGAAGTTTTAGGGGTACCTGCCTGGGGGGCTGTGTGGACCAGAGCTAGTTGCAAGAGGTTTTGGTTTTGTTGGCAGAGGAGAACACTGTGCCCCACATTTACAAAAGGTATTTTGGCAGCAGGAAAGGGCTGTGTTAGGTTCAGAGGAGGTGAGGTTTTCTCTAGATGCTCTCCAGAGAGCAAGAGAAACATGGGCAGTGGATAGTTTGGCCTCTGTAGCTTGAAGGGCTTTCCAGCTATGGGGTTGGATTCCTCAGGGTCAATACTTGGTTCCTGGTGAGGTTCTCTCCAGGCAGGGTTGTCCCATGGTGAGGAGCTTGCAAGTCTGGGGAAAGGGCTTTGTTGTCAGACCTTGTGATGGACCTGAAATAACCAGCAGCCAGATTCCGGAGGCTGGGAGATGAACCAATATCTCACTGCAGGGCTGAGAGCGATGGACCTCAGTCTGTGTATGCATCCTTGTTTCAGGTGAGCAGGAAGGTGATGGTTGCCTTTTGTTGCTCCAACAACAAACTATGCTCCTTTCTGAGCAAAGACATCTTCTTGCCTGAAGGAAAGTCCTAATGTGGGGTAGTGTGGGTGATGCATAAGAAGCTGGATGAAAATATTTTCCTTGTAGGAAGGGGTTAGGTAAATCCTCTGTTGAAATGTCTCACCAAGAAGGAATGGGGCAAGCATGGTGAGTCACATTGATCATCAGTCCTACGTGCACAGAGCTTCTGAATCAGACTCCAGAGCCTCTGGAATGCATTGGTGGCTTGTCCCTCAGATGTGGCACAGGTAGGAACTGAATCAAGTATCTTCAGCCTTCCCTTTCTCCTCAAGACCTGTGCTCAACAGTTCCTATCTCACTGAGAGTCTGCAGGGGGGTATCTTTGTAAGCCTGTAGTAGAGTCCTCCAGCATACAAGAAAAGGGGGTGGTTGGGACCCTCGTCACCAGATCCCAACACACTCCTGTGTGTTGCAAGTGCCTGTTTGTCACTCTGTTGCATGATGCACCAGCAAGTGTTCAGGCTTCCTGCAGGAACCTCCATTTTATGCACATGTTCAGAGGGTAATAAATTCAGTCATTTTTGGTGTAAACATAATTCCTTAGCAATTGCCATCTATTTATTTTTATTGGTAGCAATATCTTAGCTTTGCGAATGCAAGCTCTGGACTGTTCTGGCAGTGCCTTAGGAGAGGCTTGTTTAATAGAAGCACAAATGAATTTGGAAAGGTTTAAGTTAGACTGCTGCAGAGAACTGTCTTTTTGCTGAACCTGGCAGAATTCATTCCCCAATAAGGCCATGAGGGGCTGGAAGGGATGCAGAGCAGGATGGGCCCTTCAAACCCTTCTCTCTGTGAAGGTTTAAGACGTCTTTATGAGCACACCTGGAATGAGACTCGGGTCCTGAACGGCCAAGTATAGTGGCTCTTTCAGCTTTGTCACTATGCTGTGGCTTAGACCCAATTTGTGACCTTGTCCTTGTCTTCCAATCCTGCAGGAGCCTTTGTGTAGTTGCTGATGGCCTTTGGAGCAGGCTCTTACTGATGTAGTTTCCTGAGTCAAACTGATCATGCACTTGGAACACCTCTTCTTACTGCTGTTCTTCCATCCCTTATATGGTTTCCTTTCTCATCTTTTGATCTATCCACACTGAGAAAAATACCCCCACCAAAACTCACTCTGACCATGTGCCTATGCAACACAGAGCATCCTTTTGATAGTCCTACTGAGCAAGCTTCAGGAGAAGCTCTGGGTAATTTTCACCTCCATTTCACCATCAGCTCATTAAGACGAGACAGGTACAACATCCCAGAATGAAAATGACGGACACAAAACCAGGTCTTTAGATAGTAGTGTTTGATAAGATTCTGTGCTGACTTTTGATTACTGATGCCTTTCAAAAACTTCAGCTACAAGATATGACTCTTTTATTGTATATTCCCAGGAAGATAAAACACAGTTATTGCTAGTGCAGTTTGGCTTCTATACCCTTAATAAAAATGTCTGTTCCTTAGTTGCCGTATGCTACCAAAAGTAGTAAGATTCTAATTGCCAGTCAATAAAGTCCCTTCCCATTTTTCATGGTAATAGACCTAGAAGAAGTTGTTTTTACTTACTGGTTACGTAGTGCCTCTTAAAATGTCAGTGGCGGGGGACATACTGGGCTCACTGAAACTCAGAGAGGTGTTTATTTGCCAATCCCATCCCTTCACCCCCATTCTCTCTGATCCCTGTCAGTGGTTTCTGCAGAGGGACACTCAGGATCCTGTGAGATCCATGGGTTGTCTGGGGTTGCCACTTGTCCCATGCCAAAGCATGAGGAAACCAGCAGCAATTTACCAGGGGTACTCTGTGTAAGTGCTGTGTCTGTCCATGCACAATATTCCATGTGTGGTCTGTGCTGCTGTTGAATGCTTTTATTGCTGTGTCTGGCTGTGTTCAGGAAGCCGTGAAGTGTGGTAGAATGTGGGAAATACTTTAAGTCTTGTGCTGCTCATAAACACTTAGCCCTGCTTTTCAAGCACAGTACTTAATCAAGGGGAGGAGAATATGAAGCCTCTTCCACTCACTTGGGCCATAAATGAGCCCTTTAGTAATGGGGCACACAGAGAATTGCTGCTGTTTCCAATGGCTAAGAAAGTGTCTATAATGATTGTTCTTAGACAGCTCCATCTCATTAGGATGGTGGGTCTAACAATCCCCATGATGTGACTGATGCTGAAATGCTAAACCCAGACCTAGTGCAGTGCTTATTTTTAAGAGCTTGACCTGAGCACCTTGCTATCCACTAGTAGAGGGAGGCATGCTATCTATGCCTCTGGACTCAGGCCTTTCCTGAGGCTTGTTCTTGAAAGGTGCCTGCCTTTCTCTCCAGGGAGAGGACATGGAAAAGGAAAGCAGCCTCCTGACTCGCATCTTGAGCATCTCCAGCTTTCATATTACTTTTGGAAGTCACGTTGGTGAGGTGAGGGTGACACAGATCTATTCATCATAGGAACATGGAGAGGTCTGTGTTGGAAGGGACCTTAAAGTTCATCCAGTTCCAACCCCCTACCATGGGCAGGGACACCTTCCACTAGAGCAGGTTGCTTCAAGCCCCATCCAACCTATCCTTTCTAATTATTTTAGTCATTCCTGAAGTAAACCAAGTGCTAGGATGCATGCAGACAGCACCCCAGAGAGGTGTGAAAGAGGAGGGACAGGAGATGTTCAGAGCAGGGCTGAGTACAGAGACCCTGCTGCAAACACGGATGTCTGTGTAGACAGGCGGGGTCTCTGGCCCTGCAGACCCTCAGCTCAGCAAGTGATGCTGGGTCATTGCTCTGCACTAATTAAACTTAGCTGGGGCACTCCTGGCAGTGTTTGGGTTCACGTGGGTGCTGCTCTGCTGGGGCAGTCATGATGGAGCATTGCCCTGTCAGACTGTTGGGCTGTGCCTGGCTGCATGAACACCAGTGTCAGGGGAGCAGAAACTGCTTCCATTAGCAACTAAATGGTTCTGTGTCTGTAGATGACAAATGCGCTGCTCGTGAGACATGAGGGCATGCTGACGCGGTTCTGGGAAGTTAAATACAGGCAGATTCAGCACTGGGGACACATGCTGTTTCACAGAGAGGGGCAAATCCTGTTTTCTTTGCCTTCCAGGAGAAAGGTAGCTTGCTTCCATGGGCCTGTGTGGGGCTGGAGCAGCTCTGCTCTAGAGACAGGCTGAGAGAGCTGGGCTGGTTCAGCCTGGAGAAGAGAAGGCTCCTTAAGGGGAGACCTTAGAGCAGCTTCCAGTGCCTAAAGGGGCCAACAAGAAACCTGGAGAGGGGCTTTTGGCAAGGGCCTGTAGGGACAGGACAAGGGGGAACGGCTTTAACCTGACAGAGGGGAGATTGAGATGAGACATTAGGAAGAAGTTCTTCCCTGTGAGGGTGCTGAGACGCTGGCACAAGGTGCCCAGAGAAGCTGTGGCTGCCCCATCCCTGGCAGTGTTCGAGAGTCAGATATTTAAAGGGAATTACAGGAATGCACAAAACATTATGGGGTGTTTAAGGGAAGGGCCAGAGACAGGGAAAGGGGGGATCAGAGCAAACCGGGGAGAAAACAGCATGGGAGAGTGGGTAGGAGAGAGGATAAAAGGGTCCCGCTGTGTGTAAGCAGGCTGCTCATCAGTGTGCTTTTCTGGCTGAGCCCTGGTCTCATACTAAACGTGATTCATAGTTCTAATTTCTCTCTCTGTCTCAGTGCATGTGAATATGTGGATGTTTCACTGGCAAACTTGAAGCTCTAGTAGTTGGTGAGTAGAAGACCAGAATGTGAAAGCCCAGGGCTGGACACAGGGTAAGTGAGACCACAGTTTTGGTATGGAGTATGGATGGAGGAAGTGTCTGGGATTGGAGATTTGTGCTGATAAATGATGTGT